CAAGACCTTTACCTAAGAGTAAGATAGAGCCAATTTTGGAACACGGCACCCTGGATAGGGATTGAGCCGAGCGAGCAGGTGTGAGCTGGCCTAGCGCGGCTGGCGCGGCGACGGCGGTGCGAGTCGCATTGAACCGCAATGATTGTGTTGTGGGAGAATGGTAAAGTTCCATGTGTGCCCTGTTTCGCTAGGCAGATGATGAGCAAATAGGATCGGGTATGCACGTATCGCACAAGATCTGACCAGGTAGGGGCACCGATCTGGGAGGATCGATCGTATGTGTGAAACATTGCGTGGATCCGATCCGAGAAGGAATGCGTGAGAGCTCTCACGCATTCCTTCTCGGCTTCCACTCGTAGATACTCTATATGTCCTGCGTATCTTTCCTTAAGAGCCATGAACATTCCGATGGTCGACTGCAGCAAGAATGCAAAACTTTCATGCGAGATATCCACGAAATGTCTGACATATACGATCGATTCTCTCGGCAGTAGCTCGAGAAGCTACTGCCGAGAGAATCGAAGATAAGACATATGTTCCAGGATGCTAAGGTGGTCCACTATTCTCCAAAATTCCAAATGACACTGCCTGCATGGTCTTCAACAAGGTAACCTATAACGAAAGTGTGTATTGTCCTTTTATACAGCAGTGTGGTAAATTTTAATGTTCTAGGCCACACCTAAAGATAAAGAATACCAGTTCATTCCGCTGCGTCGTCATGTGATCAATGTTGACAAGGGCGTCCTTATTGGACAGGGGCATGTTGACGTTCTGGTGGGATTTAGGGTGACATAGAATTTCTTCAGAGGTCAAAGTCTTTTTGCATCCCTGGCCAGAAAGACAGGATGTCAGGGAAGGGACCGAGGTCAGTCCTCGATGGAATGTTTTTTTTTAGTAAATTGAAGACTCCTCGTCGTCCGAAACCACCACCTTCAAGGCAAAGTAGCCTACGGGAAAGTAATTTCTGGACCAAAAACTTCCACTTCAAACTTCAAGCTCCATCTCAGTTGGCGTCTCAAACAAATGTGACAAATCTATTGCAGTATCAGTATTTCTGTATTTATATTTCTGCCCTCCCTAAAATGTATTCCTTTATTTGTATTTCCAAAGACGTTTGCCTTTATTTAAAAAGTATTTCCGATACATACATTTTTACAAATATATTTTAGTATCAGTACTTTACCTGCTTTAATGTATCCCAGTATTTGTATTTCCAAATACATTTTTAAGTATCTCTGCCCAACCCTGTCGCCATCCAGGCGGCCGTGTTCCAAAATTTCCTCTAGCTCGCTTTTGGACAAAGGTCTTGTACCCGTTGCATTCGAAAACCTACCCGCGTCCAGCATTGCTGTATCTGTCTTGTCACGTGACTTGATCCGCTGGAATAACTCGGATTTATTTGAGTAAGATCGGAACACAACCCCAGATGGCCCATCTGCCGACCGCGATCTGGCCAATCAGATTTGGCCAGGGATGGGCAGTATTTCAAATACGTATTTCAAATACTTTGTGTATTTTGCATTTGTATTTAATTACAAATTGGGTAATGTATTTGACGTGTGTATTTAAATACTAAAACGTGGGTATTTCAAATACAATTGTAATTAAATACAATTTTGTGGGCGAAAATACATCCCTCAAATTTATTGTCACTGTCCAGAGCAGGAAGAAAACTACGTTCCGCACCGATTGCAGTGTCTCCCAATCAAGCACAAGCGTTTAGTGACTTTTTGATTATGGTGCTAGTCTAAGGCAAGAATAGTGACGAAATCAACGTTCACAGGCAGCCTAGCTAAATAAGTGCCTGTGACAACTTGTGATGCTTTCCAGCCTGATTTCCATCCATATTTTTGCCTGGAACATTCTAAACGCGCGGGTCGTCCAGATTTTCGTAAGTGGTGTGAGTTGCAACAATAAAAAATTATCTAGCTAGTGCTGCGCGTTTTGGTCGTCTCAGTTCTTTGTTGGTCTATACCAAAATATAATCTACAAAAAAAGCTGCTTGAAGCTCTGTACTTGTTTCACTTATTACGTCCAAGCTGATTACATTTTTTTGTGATTATATTTCTATTACATTACTAGAGTCTCGCACACTAACTCCCGAGTGTGCGATGCAAAATTAAAATGAGATACCCAGAAACCTGTTGCAGTTGCCCTGAAGTCGCTGACGCAAATTTTGAGGAATGTATTTGAAAAAGTATTTGAAGGAGACCAAATACATTTGGTTGTATTTGTATCTTGTACTTAAATGCTTTTTTGGAAATGCAATTAGATTTGTAATTAAATATGTTTTTGACGAAGTATTTTGTATTTGTATTTTGATACATATTTGCATGTATTTGGCCCATCCCTAGATCTGGCCTGCCTATGGGTGCAGCCATGTTAATGTCACGTGATCACTAATGCGACAAACAGGCAAGATGACAGCAATCCTTGGTTTACAAAATAGTGCATGCCGCCTATCGCGCAATGCCGGAAACTTAGACATTTCGGGTGCGAGGCTGGAAGGTGGTTGGAATACAACTAGGCTTCGCAATGTATGGTTTGGCTTGATACATGTGGGGCGTAAAGCTGGTGCACGCAGTCTATTCCAAGCGTTGCCTCGAGACCCAGATTGAATAGTGTGGAAAATTCCCTCCAGGAGCGTATGAAAACGCCATACCCGTGACACAATGTGCACTGCAGATCTATCGGTGCTCGTTCGGCTGCCATGGTGAGCCGTCCATGTTCCTTCCCCTCACGGCAGCTATCCAAGCCTGTCTTAGCAGGATACAGCCTGGCAGACGGAAATCGAAAAAACCTTGGCGTTCCTCGCTTCCGCGCCTCTGTCGCAGCCTAGGAATAGCCGGCATGCTTATTTGTTTTCCAACCAAATGGGGCGCTAGCAACACGCTCTGCTCGCGCATGGGCAGCAGCTTTTTTCGAAATTGTGGATGGGAGGGGGGGGGGGGGCATTTCTGCTGCAGGCCGTGGGTTCCGGTTTACTGCTCTAAGGTAAAAAGGGTTCTTATTGCATGACTTCTCGCTTTTTCACGCTCCAGTGATCGATGGAAGCCAAAAGAATACTCAAGCTCATTGGGTCAACCAAATGAATTGCATACTGCATAAGCCCCACAGATAGACCCTTATCAAGTATTTCTGTTATTTCGTGTCCTTTTCACAATTCGACTTGGCAGGTGCTCTCAATGTGCGACGAGATTGGAAGCGTGCAAGTGCCACGGAAAGTATGAATGTGCACCTGGTGAGTACTATGTAACATTGCTACATAATGCCGACAGTTGGGTTTGCAGTAGAATTTACTTTATTTCTTTATTCTCGGTTTGAGAGCGGAAAATTATTGTGTAAAAGACAGCGTGTGCAGGCGCTCCGACAGGTCAACATACACTGCGAGGGAAACAAATACGGAGCCAGTTATTATCAAAAGATTATCTTCAGGTGTCCTTGGCTAATATTTCATTAAAAGTGAAATGTAAAAATTAAAATAAAACTAAACTAGAGAAAACTTATGCACCATGACCCGTACACAAATACAATCAAACTTACAATTCAATTCTTTTCTATTAAAAAAAAAAAAAAAAAGCTTGTGAAGTGTGGTGTATTTGCACTTGGAAGCTTTTATTCGGAAATATTTCCCCGTTTCTATTTTATTATAGGTGATGTGCGAGCATCCAGACGAGAATAAACGCACATATTAGTTGCCGGAAACACTCCTCGTTGTCCAGTGGAGAAACCGAAAGCTATCACCAAGCAACAAAGAGCACGCAATTTCGGAAGGGCTAGAAACTCGCCGCCTTTTAATAACTAAACACAGGGGCGATAATAGCTATTCCGATATTTAATACCTCTGATCCTGCCCATAGCAACAAGTACCAGATTGGAACGAGCTCGTGGCATGACGCAAAACAACATATTGCGTAACCAACTGCGCAAGGGTCCAACCAGTCCAACTTCCCGCACTGCGACGATGTGTTCGCCGATCAGTTTCTTTATAACGCTCCCGCTCGCCTGTACATGAACAGGTGTGGTTCCCAGGAACGACTGTAAGAAGTGTAAATGTAACTCGCCTGTAAATGTAGCTCTTGAAGTGCCCCGATTCCCGCATCAGCTGCTTGTACAGGCTCAAAACTTCTCTCCGGGAGGCCGCCATGTTTAAACTATCATCGTCATCACCCGCCGCCAAAATATCAACAAATACAGTAGTTATGTGTAGGGGTGTCGCGAACCGGTCGCGGTTCGAGTTCGACCAGGTTCGACTTTTTCGAACTTTTAGTGGAAAGTTCGACGAACCTTGTATTGAGGTTCGACTCGTGTGCGCATGCGCGACAGGCTGGCCACTTGGCTTCGGATTGGATGCTAATGGCTAAGAGATGAATTAAGTGCAGCGCTGATTGGCTATTTCAGTCAATACAGTACTAAAAATTAAGTTGTGTTGTCCCGTCCCCTGTTTTTACGTATATAACTCTTTCTAAACCTACAAGTTATTTACTTCTTCATTGATTAGAATTAGTTTCTTTTAATTGCAGCAGTTCGCAAAATAAAATAACACCTTGCATAAAAAAAAAATTCTCCAAACCTAGACATGCTTGTATTAAGGTCTGGCCACACTGTCCATAAAGTCGAACCGGTCGAATCTGGTGAAAAGTTCGAAGGTTCGTCGAACCGGTTCGACTCAGTCGAACCCCGAAAGTTCGACCAAAAAATCTGGTTCGACAAAAGTTCGCGACACCCCTAGTTATGTGACTGCGAAGTGTTACTGTCTTATTGTACTTCACGCTGTCAGAATTATTAGTGAATAACTATAATATTAAATACATATTTCCACATATATAAATGTCACAAATGCAAGTTGAATTGGGTTTTGACTTGCGCTCTCTCTAGCCAGTAACTGAAGACATATTAAATTAGCACTTTTTGATTGTTTGATAATTTCGGTAGTTAAAATTTACACATACACATGTATGCTATATTTATTTATAAAAAATTATATAGAATAAATCAATGAAAAGGAGGAGAACGCGCAACTTAATCCAAAAAATTACTCGAAAAGTCATGTGATTCCAAGTGTCATCGCTATCACCTTTGTTTTGGTTCCGGTTGTAAATAGCCGCACAGCCAACCACTACGCCCCGAGATCATGCCGGTTCGCGAGTTTGCTCGTTGTCGACGCTTATTCGCGCTAAAATGTTGCAATCACGGCCGCAGGTCGCCCTTCTCAACCAACGTGAACGTCGAGGGTCCCCAGGCGCGCGGGGACACCGTCACGGTCGACGGAAAGTCGTACGAAACGGACGACCAGACGAACGTCACTAGCCGCATCCTGGGCCACACCGAGCGCAAGCTGCACCTCCAGAAATGCCATCCGATCCAGTTGCTCAAGCGGAGAATCGCCGATTTCTTCACGAAGAACTACGTGAACCGAAGGGGCAACCCCAACTTTTCGGTGTACGACAGACTGAGTCCCGTGGTGACGCTGGAACAGAACTTCGACAGTCTGCTCGTTCCCAAGTCGCACCCGTCTCGTTGCAAGAGCGACAGCTACTACGTGAACGGCTCGCACATGCTCCGCGCCCACACGTCGGCTCATCAGGTCGATCTGGTCAAGTCGGGACTGGACGCTTTTCTCGTCGCCGGCGACGTTTACAGGAGGGACCAGATTGACAGGCATCACTACCCCGTCTTCCATCAGATGGAGGGCGTGCGGCTGTTCTCGGCTGATCAGGTAGTCCGGATAGTAATGGTGTGCATGTGTAGTCTGTCGCGGGTTAAAAATAGCGGGACAAGGTCCTCCCACAAAGCCCTCCGTCCTTTCCACTTCGGAGGGGGGAACGCTGGAGAAGAGGAAACAAAACGATCAATCTTGACGAACAGAGACCATTTTGGGAGAAGGTTGTCCTGCTATTCTAACCCTGTAACAGGCAACATTTCATGGGCGCCGCCATCTTGGCGTCACGTGACCCTGCCGCCATAGCCGCCCTTCAGTTTCTCGCCGTTCCTCTGCGTTGTGTGCTGCACCGGCCCCTACCGGAGCTTTGCTTTCGCGTTCTTTTACGTTCCGCGTTGAAATCGTGTGTTTTCTTTAGGTCTTTTTGATATTCGGGCTTTCATTTGATCATTTGATATCTATATTTCAACATATCTCTTGTATTTTCTTATTTGTGAAACGGATCGACGATACACAATTATGGCTTCAGAGACCATGTAAGTTCATCCCATTCTAACGTTTTTCTCGCTAATAAAGGCAGTCAACACCATTGCGACATATGCAAATTTCAACTGAAGCAGTAAGGCTATCCAGTCGTGCTTCTCGCTGCATGTGCGCGCTTGTTTCCGTAAAGCCGACCCGCATGTGAGCGATTTAGCGTGCGACGAGACGAGAGACGGCGACAACGACGAAAGTCAGCGACGAAGATATCTCACTGTCGCCTGTTGCATCGCTCGTTTTTTGGGGTTTTTAGAAAACCTCGCTCACCGTCTTGGTCGCTTGCTCCCGTCGCTTCCATGCGGTTTGCCTCGTCGCGTGACTGCCCGAGCGACAGCAAGGGGGTCACTGTCGCTTGTCTCGTTGCTCGCCGAATCGCTTGCACGCGGTTTATACTTAATATCGAGGCGCCAGTGGTTAATTGCTGTGTGCATGGAAATTACTTGAGTATAAACCGCATGTAAGCGATTTGGCGAGCGACCAGATAAGCGACGGCGACCCGCTTCGCTGTCACTCAGTCAGTCGCGCGACGAGGCAAGCCGCATGGAAGTGACGGAGCAAGCGACCAAGACGGTGAGCGACGTTTTCTAAAAACCCAAAAGAAACGAGCGATGCAACGGGCGACAGCATTTGTAAATAAAAAAAATAAAAAAAAATCTCCATCGCTCGTCTTGTCGCACGCTAAATCGCTGACATGCGGGTCGGCTTTACGGAAACGAGCGCGCACATGCAGCGAGAAGCACGACTGCGATAGCCTTACTGCGTCAGTTGCAATTTGCATATGTCGCAGTAGTGTTGACAGCCCTTTATTAGCGACAAAAACATAAGAATGGGATGAACTTACATGGTCATTGAAGCCTCATAAGTATCGCTGACCCATTCCCTGTCCGATTCCGTCCCACAAATAAGAAAATACAAGAGCTATGTCGAAATATAAATATCAAATGATTAAATGAAAGTTCTAAATAGCGAAAAGACCCAAAGAAAGTGCAAGATTTCAACGCGGAACGTAAATGAACACGAAAACGAAGCTCTGGTAGTGGCCTGCGCAGCACACAACGCGGAGCAACGGCGAGGAACTGAAGGTCGGCTATGGCGGCCCGGAAAGCGCGCGAAGGGCGCGCCGACTGGTGGCAGCTCGAGTAACTGACTCGCTGAAAGCGTCTATAGCTCGTGAGAGTTGCGATAACGCCTCGCAGGAGTGTTTTTTTTTTCAAAAGCAGCGTGGAGCTCCGGAGCCACGGGCTTCCTGTTCGAGTCTCTTGTGCTTTGTTTTGTCCTTGCATAGCCATTCAGAGGAATGTAGGGGCGATGACATTGATGGTCTCGTTTGGGGTCACTGGAAATTTGCAGAGAATGTGAACTTTGGAACTACGGCATGTCGAATTCAGCCGCTGGAGGAGAGCTTTGCGCTCTGGCAATCTCCCACTCCATACTCCGAATTCCTTGGTGCCCGAAAAAACGCCCTCATACGGGACCACCTGTCATTAAGGGGACATTGAATTCCCACAACTAACAGTATTCTAAGTGCCTTGATAGGACAGTTATTTCACAAATAACAAAGCTTGCCTAGAAAAAAAAAACAATATGAATTGCAAGACTCATTGGATATATTCCGGAACATGCTTCCGTTTCGTTGTCAATGTCTGAAAATAGATGCCTGTTTCAACTTCGATATTGCTGCTCACTCAAAATAAGTCTCGAGATATAAATATGCTGAAACCTTATTTTTAGTGTAAGTTTAATAGGGGGATCGGTGGCCGAGTGGGCTAGCGCACACCAGCTCGAAGCACGTGGAGCGAAAGCTCGCGCTGCAGAACCCAAAGATCCTGGGTTCAATCCCCACCCCTGCCCGTTTCGATCTGGATGAGCATTGTACTGACGTGCGGTCGTGTATCACTAATGCATGATGTTTTGTTAAAGACCCCAGGTTAGCGGTTGTACAACACTGGCTAAATTGCTTATATACGTCCGAGACACCAGACGCCCACTCAGGCATACTAACTTCCGGCTGTATAAACGTACACACAACAATTTGTTTTTGTAAATTTAATTTGACATACGTGTCACCATCAAGGTGCATAAAAAATCATTTTTGAAGAGTTCTGCATTTCTTTAGGTGGATTAGTTAGGCATGTAGTACATCTATAGATACCCCATAATAGCTATTCAAAGTAGCAAACGAACCGAGGCAAGACTACGGAGTAGGCAACCCGCACCCGCTTTTTGTTTCCGAGTTGTTGCCAAAACTAGAATGGCGGGAGGCAGTCTCTAAAGCAGGCGTCTCAAACACACGGCCCGCGACTCGCTGAGATGAGTCCCGCGGGCGACCAGCTACGAGTTCCGGTTCCTATGTCTGAAGTGCTAGAAATGGCATGCGCCATAGTGATCTCATCTCGTCGAATCATTTTTGCTCGAAAAGTAGCTCTGCTCTTCTAACGTATTCTCATAGTTCATAAGTATCTGCATTCATGGTTTCATTTTATTTTTTGCTTCCCAGCTTTTTGTAATGTTCAACATTTCCGCTACTTGGCTGAAAGCGCCAGCTATTCGTTGAAGGATGCATCTCTGCTGTGCGAACTCTCGATCAGCAGGAGCAACTGGCAAAGATAAAGCTATGAGCTCGGCACTCTCCCCTCAAAAAAATATCCCCATAAAAAGACAAGTATTGAATGAATGAACTGGTATTTGTTCAGGGTGTTATAATAAAAAAATGTCAGAAAAGCAAGGAGTGTCAAATTCACTGATTGTTTTTTAGGGACACGCTCAGCTTCATTAACAAGAATGACAATGGACTTCGTCGCTTGTTCTGTTAGAAAGGCCTGCACGTTGGTGGGGTGGTGTCATTTTAATTCTTGTTATCACATCAGGTCAGTGCCCAATGCAATCATATAAACAAACCAAACTTAAAGATGTCACTGGCGAAACTGTGAATTTACAAAAAGCACAGAGCATGAGGTCTCTTCTTTTAAAATATTTTAACCCCCCCCCCTCGTCTGACGTTGGCCCTTGGCCTTTCCGGTGTGAGCTATCTGGCCTCCACACTCAAATGAGTTTGAGACCACTGCTCTAAAGCGCCGCGCGAAGAACAAATTCTAACTCCAGTATCTTTCGTTTCGCCCGCAGCTGTTCGAAGGCAGGGCGGCGGCAAGGGATGGCTTGGAGCTGTTCGAAGACGGCAGCCGGGACGAGATCAAGCAGGGGCTCCACACGATGGAGACGGCCAAGCTCCTGGAGCACAGCCTGAAGACCTGTCTTCAAGGCCTGGCCAAGCAGCTCTTTGGGCCTGGTGAGGGTTTTCGACTTGAAGCGCTTTCGGTACGTCCCGTCTCTGCCGACCTACGACCGACCACCGGGATTGCAACGACGTAAGACGTCGCATAAGACGGTCATCGTAGCTGGGTGGGTCGTTGAACGCAACGGTAAAAAACACGCCCCTAGCACCGTTGCTTTTCGGGGCTGCAGCACGGCGCAGACCGACCGCTCGTCGAATCGTGGCCTGCCTCGCACGTGCGCAGAGACGGAGACCCGCTGGGTTCCCACAACGTTCCCCTTCACGCACCCGTCCTGGGAGCTGGAGGCTAGGTTCCAGGGGGACTGGCTGGAACTGCTTGGCTGCGGCATCATGGAACAGGAGATCCTCTACAACGGTGAGCGGTCAGACACGTTGCGGCAACCTTAACTTCGCGGAGCATTTCCGAAAGTTGCACTGGCTAGATCGTGCAGACGACGACCGGTAAGTGCAGAATGTCTTGGGAATGAGCTGGGCACATGCTATGTGTGTGTGATGTCACAACGTCACATGGCAGCATGGTGCCATGCCCTTATGAGACATTGTGGTGTCGCACTATGTCACTATGTGGGATGTTACGGTTCTTTGCAACAGTTCTTCACGATTGTTTTTATGAAGGTTTTCTTGTAGAATTTGGCAGCATTGGGTAAAGTACATCTAGGAAGTACTGTATTTACACGATTGTAAGTCGAATCAATTGTAAGTCGACCCCCCATTGCACAACAGCAAAAAATTAAAAAAAAAAAAAAAAAAAAAAAATCTGTAGATGCGCATTTTACTGAGAATACGTGAGAATGGCAAAGTATCTGTTTCGAAAGCCGAGCCTCCAACACGCGATCTGTGCCTTCTAGCGTGCTTTGGCTGTGCATGCACGCGCGAGGTGCATGAGATGCCCAGGCGTTACCGAAACTAGGAAGTTCACGCTGCAGGTGGGACAACTGAAGCTGCTCTTTGTCGTTCTCACTCCGTCCGGGACTAGACTACGACTCGTCCGCACTGGTGCTGTCAGTCTCGTCATCATCACTGCCACTTTCTCGAAGCACGTCGTTGGAGTCGTTAAACGAAATCTCGCACTTCGCAAATGACAGGATCAACCGCATCTTCCGCGCTTGCTCGGCGTTGGACGTCCCGGGTAGGGACTGATTGCGCACTTTCGCGACGTACGTTGCAAGCCTGACCTCCAACTCCAGAAGGCACCCCCACCTATCCAGACTTTAGCCAGTGGAAGCCTCTTTGTTTGCTGTCACAGTTTAATATCCCACGCCACTGCAGACTCCATTGGAGCATCACCCGCTCCGACGGGTTGAACTTGCGTCCAACAGCGCAATTGTTGGTTGCTTCCAAGTGAAGAATGGCCATAAACGAGCACTGTAAACCTAAACTGTCCGGATCATCCGTGTCAATACAAAATAAACGCAGTTAGTGCTCCAGCATGATCTCGTCACTCAATCAAACGATGTGCGACCGTGATTCGTGCGAAAAACTGCGAAGAGAAGCCGCGGGGTGAATGAGCTGGGAAGCTGTTCCGGCGGCCTCTGGAGTGGCTCATACAAGAAGTGCCGTCACCCCCCCTGAGTCGGGCGCACCATGTGCTGTTCACCGCCATATATTCGGGTTAATTTGTGAATCACTATCAATACTCGTTTGTGCAAATAAAAACAAATAATTAATCTGTAAAATGAGCACACAGAATAGTGCAAGGCACACAGAATAGTGCAAGAATAGTACAGCCGGCTGAACTCGTAACAAGCCGAGGTGTTCGTGATATCGCGATTGTTGTTTTTACCGATGATGGAATGCTTTGGTTCGATTAAAAGTCGACCCCCCACTTCAGATTTTCAAAAATTGAAAAAAGGGTCGACCTACATTCGTTTAAATATGGTACTTGGTACAGTATACCTGAAGTAAAGTGCAATAAATACCATGTACATTCATTGTAAAGCACAAGTACTTTTCAACACAATCATTCATGACGCCCTTTTATTTCCCTATACAGTGTTTCTTTCAAGATGTATGCATTGCCCCGGGTTTAATCGGGGGTGCATTAGTTATTTTCGGAAATGGTGGTGAATATTGGATAAAGTTAAGTGGTTGCAAAGTAGTTGTTTTACGCTCGCTGACAAACTACTTAACAGAATCAACTTAAAAGGCACTTAGTTGTGTTGGTCTTATGACTACCATTACTTCTCTCAGAAAAATGACCAACTGTTGTCTCAAAAGACAATAGCGTGTTTTCACATGACGGTATACCATTTTTTGTTAGAGGTTGACAAGCATCATTCATGATACAAATCTAATGAGGCCAAATTGGGGAATGTACTTTGAAGTCGGGAAATGTACTTTCCTCAGAAAGTACCAGAAAAGGTACTTTAAGTACAAGTACATACTCAGAGAGTGTACATCAGGTGAAGTATAAGTTTTCTTAACCTACTTAAAGTAATACTTTAAATACAATGTACTTACAGCACTTAAGCCAAATTCCAACACTGGAATTCGGCTGATAAAACACATTCTGTGTTAAGAAACCCCAAACTTCCACTCAGTGACGCAGTCAATAGATCCCTGTAAAGAAATATTCACCTTACAGACTGTCTCGGTAAGAGGCTCTGCTGGAAGTCGCTGGAGAGCCGCGCGTGATGTAGCAACATTTTTCTCCCTCTTGCCTAAAACTGCCATGACCCGTCTGTGCTACTTGAAATTTGTAGGGCTTCGTCGACCCGTTGGCACCACCCTTTGGTAAAATAGCATTTCGCAGACACTCTCATTAAAGGATGCCGTCCCAAATTGCTACTTTTTGCACTTTGGGCTTGTTTCACTTCGAAGTGAGTTTGTACTCACTTCGAAGCTGTTGTAAAAAGAAGAAGGCACGAAACAAAGCAGAGTTCGTGGAAGATTTCGCGACACTCCCATCAAGACTGGGCTTTAAAAGTATGGCCGTCACGCTCTTTCTCAACCTGAACTCTCAGCGTTGCAGAACGAAAAGCACTGATTAATGGGAGCCAACTGCCTAACTTTGCTGAGCACTTCGGCTGCTGCATCTTTCGAGCTATTGCGAGGTCACAAACCTTGTGTATGGCGCAAATCTTTCGGTCGCTCCTTCCCGCAGCTGGAGCGGAGCAGAAAGTGGGCTGGGCGTTTGGGCTGGGCCTCGAGAGGATTGCGATGACCCTGTACAAGATCCCGGACATCCGGGCCTTTTGGAGCACAGACCCGGGCTTTTTGTCCCAGTTTGAGCATGACGACCCCTACAAGCCCGTCTCTTTCAAGGTGAGGTTGGAGGTCCTTGGAGCATAGGTACGGCACTCGGAATGCCTTTCCGATCCGCATGTTCTCTTTATTGGCACGGTCGAAGAGCAGCTAAAAAAAAAAAGATGATACAGAGAAGAAGCAAAACGCAGTACGAGCTCCACTTTTTTATCACGTCTGTCAACAACCGACCAGCCTGTCAGTCCGCTATATTAACCTCAATCGGAAGTGGCATCCCTATTTTTCCCAGATGACGTCACAAGTGTGTCACATTGTCTTTGGCCACGACCCTGGCGACGTCGCAGCAGCAGTGGTAGATGTGGCAGACGGCAGTTCCGCTGTAGGTTGCTCTCCAGCTCGACAGTCTACGAAAGCTTTGGGACCCTGCAACAGTGGCGGCACTCGCATTCGCTCACACTTTTTGCCGGGACTTCTAGCACAAACCGCCAGGATTGCGACGTCCGACGGTGTGACACAGCAGCTTAAATGACGTCATTTCTCTCCACTTTGGGGCCTCTGTTCACAGATGGGAGGAATAGGACACTAAACAGTAAGCACACCAGTCGGAGAAGCATTTCACAAGCTCTATCACCATGCATCGCTTCACAATGATTTTTTTAAAACACCACCCATTATTTTTCCACGTCGTGATCATTCATTCAAAGTAGCGCGCATCACATGCCACTCATCTAGTTACGCATGAGCATTCATACCACGGACCATAATCGACTGGAACAACCTACAGACTCACATTGCAACTGAGCTAGTATCGTAGCAGTAAATATTGCCGGAAGAGGTATGATTTGGGACCAGAACTGCTGCTAGAACAATCACGGCATGTCGGGGGAAGCCGAAGTACACTAGCCAAAGCTCGGCGAGGGCAGCCATTGTGATGCCGGTGTAAATAAGACCTTCCTTATGTTTCTCTTGCTTGAATTCATGTAAAACATTCTGATTATTGTTTCTTCACTCTAAAAACGAAACCAAGTTCATTTTATTTTGTTTTATATGTTTATAATGAATGAAAAGTGTGCATATAATTCATTTGGATTACTTCTGAAAAAAAGGTAATGCAACATCAGTTTTGGTTTCGTTTTGATTTCAACTGTGTCCCGTGACGCGCATCTCAACTGGGTTTGTTAGTACTATGTGCCGTGCAACACCAGACAACTTAGTTGAGCTCAATGACAGTTGGGAGATGCCAATGATCATTGAATTAATGACAGTTGAGAGCGCTAGTGTAACTAGGGTTTAAGCCACTCTATTCACTGCCAAGTGCTTAGTCATGCTATCCTTATGTGGCATCTGATTACGAAATTGTTGACAAAAAGCTACACCTAGAGCCACTAGAAGGCTACTCTCAGAAGAGTTTAGCTAGAGGCGCTGAATAGGCTACGCTTCAGAGTAACAACACTCCAGGCATTTTCGTGCCTAAAACCATGGTTGCCAGCTGTCCGAAGCTTCATCTGAAATTGTGGGAAATGCTTTTCCGTTTTCCAGGAAGGTTGACACAGCTTGCTTGCGAGATACAAGAATGTCGCCCTAGCTTCCCGACACCATATCTGAAGCTCATGAAGTTACATTTTCCAACGATTACTGTCGTGAATTGCACCCGTTCTGCACTAAGCACCAAAATGGCGGCACCCACAATTTAGTCGAGGATTGGGTTGCAGATACTGTAAGTCTAACTGCACCGATTGTGCCTCTAGGAGCTCCTCGATGTGTTGCCTTCCCACCACTCATGCAGGTCTTGAGCAGCCACCCGCCCTGCCTGGCAGACATGTCTTTCTGGGTTCCGACCGATTTTACGCCCAACGACTTCTTCGACCTGGTGCGCTCCGTGGGGGGCGACCTGGTGGAGCGAGTGGAGCCCGTGGACGTGTTCACACACCCCAAGACGCGACGCACCAGCCACTGCTTCAGAGTTGTGTACAGGCACATGGAGCGCGTCATGACGCAGGAAGAGGCCAATGTCATCCATCGGGAGGTGGGGAAGAGGGCAGAGGAACGACTGGGGGTTGAACTAAGAATCAAATGAAGGGTGAGGTGTCAAATTGCTCTAGTGGGAACGGTAGTAAATCTTTTTAGCAAACTTAAATACTGGTATTATTTGCCTCCTTCTGTTCACTTTGTTGGTTGATTGATTTTTATATATATCACGTTTGCCATTCGGTAGCCTTTCACCTCCGTTGATGTCACATCATTGTGTCAAATAACGTCATTTTGTTTAACAGAAAAATTTTCCGAGAAATTTAGCAGACAAGTTTTCCAACCATCTATCTTTATGAAACATACCTGTGATTCGCTGACATGAACTCTCCCTACATTAGTGCAACGCATTTTGCAATGCCAGTTGCACTTTTCTAAGCAGCTCCCGTTGTGCAGGGGTATAGAGCATCGAACAGCTAAAAGTGAGTTTTGTGGTTTGATGCCTGCCAAGCGACAACAGTGATTTCTGGAAGAACAGCTGCTCGTGTCGTGTTTTTGTTACATTTCATGATGTTCTAGACCTAAGGTCCATGCACGCATTTGTAGTGTTGAGCGAATCTTAGAAGTTTCTAATAGTAGTTTTTAATAAAGAAAGGTTCATTGGTGGATCCTTAAAGAATGCGTTAGCAGGACCCTTGGGAACCGCCACACACGCCACACACTAACCCCTTCACATTTCTGTTTTGGCCTTCTCTTTTGCTTTCTCTATTTTTCGCTGCCTCTTTTTGCCTTTGTTACGGGGCCAGTGCTAGCCTTTCCCAAAGGGGCGTGTGTGTGGAAGGGTGATGCTAACACATTTCCTAAGAATCGACCAATGGATCCTCCTTTATTTATTTTTTTCGGCCATGCGGGCTCGAGAAGCCCGCTTCGCCCCAGCCTCGGCCGCACCAGGGCCTGCGTCGGCTTGCCGCTTCTTGCGCCGCATTTTGTTCAACTGACCTAGGCGCTGCTTCCGTTCTTCTGTCTCATTCGTCTGCAAGTTCAGACTCACCCCAGCATCCGCGCGCTCATTGGCTTCCACCCCGTGACGTCGCCTCCCTCTCGCCTTTGTCATTAACTACTCTCCTCCTCTCTATGCCGTGCGCTTTCCTTTCCACTGTTTTGTCCGCAGACGTACGCGGTTAGCTTTTTCCTATGGTGTGGTTGCTAATGCATTAATAATACGCTTTTCGGTATTGGCTTCGAGGGGAACAGCAATATTGATACTTTTCGAAGTGTTGGTCGCGGCGGGTTAGCCCCGTTAAGGGCGCTTCTCGCCAAGCTTTGGTGCACTGCAGAAAAGCAATGCCCGTGGAGCTCAGGGGCTCCTCGGGTATTGCTTCCCCGCAGTGTACCGGTGCTCGATGAGAGGCGCACTTAACGGGGCTAACCCGTCGCAATTATGCAAGAGTGCAAACGCTTTGCATACGCGACAGATTACAGCCGCCATTACTGACCTTGTCTTGTCTTACCGAGATACTGGGCCACTGAATCGGACTTTGACGATCCTCCACAAAGGCCAATACTTTGAGAGAAGAACGCAGTAAAATCTAAAATGGCAATAAGCTGACCTGGTATGATAATGAAGTGAACGGAATAAAATGAAACAAAAACTGAACGTCGGTAATGACGGCGCTTATGCACAGCTGCTGCGGAGCGTCTGTGCAGGGTGTTCGGAGGTAAACAAAAACAAATAATGGCCGAATTTTCGGGGGGAGTATTTTACTCCCGGTGGGTTATTGTTTTTGAGGACCTTCAGTGAGTAGCGCTTACTTTAAAAGTCTCACTGCCGAGGACTAGCTGCGGTACCTCCCGAAATTTACTCATACGAGATCGACATCTTCCTGTTCCCTTGGGTGAAAAGGGAGAGCACTTTTTCTTCAAGGAAATGGCATATCTGCTTTAGTTATCGTGGGCACACCATAGGACTACTTTTCGACTAGAAGGTCCATATACCTGAAAGTGACTTAAAACCTACAAATCACTAAACGCGTTCAACTACTTCGTGAACGGCTAGGCATCGGCGATGGGTACCTATCCCCCCAGGGGCCGAAGATTCGCTCCGAGCTTCCCCGCAGAGGTCTCCGATCTGGGTCTGTTTTAGCACACAATCTTCCGAAAGTTTTTACTACGCTTCCTTCAGCGCCACGCGAGTCTCTGTAATGCGCAATTTCCTAGTGTTTTGACTTGCTTGCTTTGGTATTGAAGGTTTCTTTCCCAGAGCACTGTGTACATTGCATTGGTGCGTGCCGTGATGCCCCATCGGTGTATGAAGATGGACGGTCGAGGCGCCGCGGCGTCAGCGCCGCATTCTTGCGTTTGTCGCGTTGCGCACTCTGTCTCCAGCGCATCGAAGTGCTAGCACCGTCTGCTAATGCCGTCGTCCTGTGGTCTACCAGGCTCAGTGGCGTCGGTGACATCCCATTGCCTCGAGATTATCGAAATAACTTCACTTGTGACATTTTGTTCGTGCCAGTATGCATCGACAACTTAAAAACACGACACTGGGGCATTTCTAGCGTGTCTCTCTCACCCAATACCTCGCTAGGAAACCAATAATCGTCATGCTCCCACCCAAACAAGGTAAACATAAGAGAACCGGAAGTATAGGATGTTTGAAATTCCGAGGCTCGATTTAAAATGGGCCGTAAAAATCGACGCCTGCATGTAGCAATCAAAATCTTTAGTCAAAGTAGTACTTCACAGGTGGGTTTTACCTTGTAAAATTACGAGGCCAAGCTCCCTTGCTATAAAAGATTGTGCCAAAAAACTTGCCAGAGTCAACGGTGAACGGCAACGCAGCCGACCGAGTCGAGTGACTGGGCGCTTTTAACTCGCGTATTGATAGGTGGCGTCGGGAGCAGCGTCGGGAAGTGTAGCCGAGTTTCCGACCAGCGAAAGGAAGCAGACGATACGCAGACGAAATTCGGCGGCAGCAAAAGCGCTATAGTTGTGCAACCGCATTTTCTTTTATTTTTGTTAGTTGAAGATTTGCTATCATTGTCCGCATTTATTCCGAAATGAGAGGTACTTTACAAAAAGATTCTGCTCATTTTAATAGACCACAATCGTCGTGGGCAGTCTTTTTTTAAAGCAAGCCAGAAAAGTTGGAACAAGGAGGTAATGCCATTTATCAATACATGTGCCAAAGGCACCCCGCCACTCGACTCAGTCGTCTGCATTGCAGTCCGCCGTTGACCCTGGCAAGTTTTTTTGTCCCTAACTTTTACAGAAAGGGAGCTAAGCTTTGTAGTTTCACAAGTTAAAACCTACCTGTGAAAGACACCTTTGCCAAAAAATTTAGATTGCTACGTGTAGGTGCCGATTTTCACGGCCAATTTTAAATCCAGCGTCGGCATTTCAGACGGCTTATGTTTCTCTCTCCCTCTCATGGTGGCTGGAAGTGGCCCCTGCATATGTTAGGCAGCAATGTCTTGACAGGCCGCATTTATTATTCATGCGTTTTGTTTTGTCATACTTGAAATAGAAGAAAAAATATTTCTTATACCAAGCAGATTTATAAATCCCCTCGATTAGAATAACGGCAACAAATCTGTCGTTTACATGTCACAGTTCATATAGTAGTTATTAGGGTGCCTCAATGTCCTTCTGTTAAGGGTGATGCCACCCTTTGTAGTACCCGATGCCGACAGCACGCGCTCACGGGTAAAATACAAAGAAATTGACGAAAACAAAATGTCGCCATAGCACAGTCAGCGCCACAAACGCGTGCAGGGACACGCTCTTTCACGCGCTTTTGAACAAAAAAGAAAAATAAATGTGGGACAAAATGGCGAGATGTCTCCACCCTAAGCAAAGCGCACATGAAGGCACCCTAGTAGTTATATGAAAATAACTGGGGTAATTTTATTACATGTTTGACCATTTAATAGATAACGGTAGTGTAAACAAGATAGATCATTATCACATGTACAAATTGGCAGCTTCCGATTTCAGTAAATGCTGCTAATTTTTGTTTTAAGTAAGCAAGAACATTTATAGCAGGCGGTATTTTTATGGCCGCTTGTGCCATCTGTTGAGTTAAGGTCAAAATCGAAGTACTACTTGTTCAGGAATATTCCTAGAGTGGCGCTGATTTTGTCCCCTTGATAGAGTGCCTTCATACACACGCGCGCTTTTGCTTGAGTGGTGACATCTCAACCATTTTTCCGCCCAATCGTTTTTTTATGCATTTTGAAGTGCGCGCAATCCGGTGTCACTCAGCTCGAGCGCGTAGCTTTGGCTGATGCATAGACGCCATCTTACCGCCCAAGTCACGCACCAAGTGCGCGAGAGCGTCACGCGCTGGTACATTCCGGACAACAATGGGTGTCTTCACCCTGAGACAGACAGACATCTAGGCACCCTACCCCTTGACATATAGATGCTTTTAAGTAGCTCTGCATGGGAGTAGTCATGACCGACCTTCACTTTCTCTTCCTCTCCTTTGGTGCGCTGCACTTCATTCCAGTGCTCGCGAGAAGGTTCTACACACTTTTCCAAGACACGCTCCTAGGTAGCCGGCATGTTGTTGCTGCTGATTTGGCTGGTGCGACTCTCGTGCCCCCTACCAGCTAGAAATTTTTTGCCACACTCCTGGACTGTGGAAATTCACTCAGTGCGATTCCCTACCTATGCTTTGCGGTTTTGAACTCAACGTTTTCTGGCCCCTCTTGAAAGTTTCCACTTAATTCTTCTGATGCATGCTGCGTGCCCTTTCTGTGTTATCTTCCACCGTGGGAAATAAAGCTGGTAATGCCCGCGTCCCACTAGAGCGACAGACAGAGACAAAAGACAGCGACAAGCCTCAAACCCATGCAGCATGCTCGTGATGGTACACATCGCGACACTGTTAGCGCGAACACGATATCGGCGCATTTTCGGATTTTACTTCTAAATATATATTAGCGAGCACGAAATTTTATCGCTTATACATTATAGAACTAAATGAGCTCTTTCCGTGGCAATAATAACTTGGGTGACACCCCTTGGTTTCAAAGAGAAAAACTGGAAGAACCGGCGATCGCTTGTTCGCGCTAACAGTGTCGCGCTCTGTACCATTGGCAGGCGTTTAGTCGTTCGGTGCTCACGAAGTAAGCACGAGCAATTGCAAGCCTGCCAAAG